AAAAAAAAAAAAAACAGACCTCCGGTTAATGATTGATTGACTATTATGTTCTCGATCAATCAATTGACATACTATTTAACTAATTATATAAATTAATCCATCAAATAAAAATTTATTGGTTTAAAAGTCATACTACATTACGATCATGGTTGATTCAATATTGAAGTAAACACTTATTATTGTGAGTTGTGACTAGTATTTTATATGTACGATGCACAAAAATACATATCCAATATTAATACTCAATGTCAATTTTTAAAAATAATTGTGTGTGTGTATCAGTGTATGTTTTGTTTTTTTTTTTATTTTTAATTTATAGTTGTAGAGTTAATATTGTATTAACAGTATAGTTGATAATTTGAGTAATAATTATGATATGATTAATATTATTAAAGTAAAAATTTTATATATGATAAATTACTAAATATAATTATGGTAAAATTTAATTAAAATCTAATGAAATCAAACTTATATTTCTTATAATAGCATGTCTATGTCTACTACATACATCATTACCATTGAATAATATAATAAAAAAATTTAATAGAAAATACAGACATAAATAAATGGTATAATTTGGATTGAGACTTATTATATTTTTAGATAAAGTTTTACTGGGACAATCAATTTCCCCAACAAATAAAAAAAAAATGTTCATTCGATTAATTTTTAAGTAGAATTGAATTAATCATTTTTTAAAATTTGATAAAATGAATAACTAAACCAAAGTATCTAATTCTAAATTAATCGAAATATTGTCTTTTTTTGGTTAATTCAGTTAACTAATGACTAATGAGTTAGTACAAATTCACATAAAAGGTGATGAGGTCAAACCGTTGCAATATGCTAAAGAGTACGAATTTTTGCAAAATGGAATGTGCTTTGCATATAATATTAGTTCATATTTTACTAATTTTTTTTCTTAATTTAGTGAAAATTGAGCTTTTGAAATAATCAAAATTTTAAAATAGTTAAAATCTATCATTGAAGTGAAATTAATTTAATTAACTGACTAATCGAATTAATTTTCAGTTGGGTTGATTAATCAAGCCGAAACTAGAAAATAACCCCTGAAAGAAATCAATATTTTAGCAAGCATATAAATTCAATTGAGTATATACATACAATTTTCTTTGTTTATTAATCAATTCATGAGAAAAATGTCTCAACTTGACGGTTTGGCCGAGTGGTCTAAGGCGCCAGATTTAGGCTCTGGTCCGAAAGGGCGTGGGTTCAAATCCCACAGCCGTCATTTTTAAAATATTCTACCTGCTTTCAAACTCAAACATGAAACAACCGCTATATAATTATTATAGAATGAAGGCGTTTGGCATGCCTTTCTCAAGTGGGATTAGGTGAATGATATCAGTCATCCATTCTATCAAATGTGTTTTTAGTATTATTATTTAATTCCTCAATTATATTCAATTCCCAGAAATCAAGCTAACGAGTATTCAAATTGATTTTGGTTGTGATTATTCATATATTAGTTTATTCATCAAATTGTAAAGTATTCATATGAGAATATATTGTAGGAATTTTTTTTATTGTTTTGTATACTTAGTGAAGTTGTATCATATGCTTTTTCAATAATATAGAATAAAAAGGCTATAATTTCATCAAATATGAAATGTATCCACTATATTTTAATTTTTAAAAAATATAATAGGAAATTTTTATTTTATTGTATACTTAGTAAAATCATATCATATGTTTTATCAATAAAACAAAACAAAAGCTTGTAATTTAATAATTCATCATCATCATCATAGATAATTGTATTTTAAATCCCTTAATTGTTGACTATTTTGTAATTTAATATGTGATCGTCAATTATTTTATCATGTTATAAATTTAGTCCCTTTTTTTTTTTTTTTTTTTTTGAAACGGAAGTTGATATAAGCAAACAATTGAATGATTAAATTGATTATTTTACACCACAAGGAACTAAATTTATAACACAGAAAATTATATTGATTAAATTTAAAAATGATGGACTAAATTATATAATAGTCAATAATTGAGGGACTAAAAGTGTTATATTTTTTTATTGACTTAAGAGATTGTAATGAAGCATTTTCAATATATTCACAATATTATACGTAGGGATGTCAACGGAGTGGGGTGGAGGCCGGGGGCATACTCCCCACCCTCGCCCCCGACTTTCTCCCACACTCCCCGTCCCCGTCTCTATTCCCGATGGGGAATCGAAAATCATCCTCATTCGTATCCCCACGGGAATTATCCGGGACGGGGAATCCCCAACCCGTTTATAACTTATAAAAGAATATTAAATTTTTTAAATAAATAACTCATATATATTCATCTTCAACTTAAAGTACTATTAAATACAGAGTATTTTACAACTAAATATATTATCCAAAGATGCATTTCATAAGTATGACATACTATGAAAAAATAACACTTCTAAAATTATATCCGTAGTCCGTATATATTATATACAATTAAAATTAATGTTTAATTTGTAATTTTCTAAAATCAAATATCTAATTACTTATTATAGTTGGTATGATATTAGTCAGTAGATTTGTTTAAAAAATACAAGAAAATGATTTTCAAGATTCCTTATTTGTAATCTTTGATGTTTAACTTTGAATGCTATGTATATAGTGTGATGACTAATTAATTGATCAAAGTTGATGTTAAATTTTATAGGAATAAGGTTCAAATTGACCACTGAACGTAACATGAAAATGCAATTAAGCCACCGAACGAAAAAAAAATGCATTTCAACAGGTTACCTGCTTACGTGGCAGCTGAGTTGACATTTTTAATAATAATTTTTTTTTAAAAACGTCGGGTGGGTAGTAATATTTCTCCCTTATATTATTATTATTATTATTTTTTTACTTTTTAAATTTTTTTAAAAAATATTATTACAAATAATTAAAAATGTCAACTCAACTGCCACGTAAGCAGGTAACATGCTGAAATGGATAGTGACTTGTTATCAAGTGAAATTGCATACATTTGGAATGTTTAGTGGCCTAATTGCACTTTTTTTTTTTTTTTTTTTTTTTTTTTTTTTTTTTTTTTTTTGGGTTCTGTGGCCTAATTGCATTTTAAAGTTACGTTCAGTGGCCAGTTTGAACCTTATTATAATTTTATATTGTATTTTGTTTAATATACTCTAACATATTCATAGTATATGCTCAACAATGATTGTGATGCGGTTCAAACGTAAGACATTCTTTATGGAAATCAATAAGTTAAGAATAATAATTAGTTAACGTAATATTTTGTTACTAAAATTTACACTCATAGGATGTGTGTGTATTTATGAAACGTAAATAAATAATATAATATAAGGTAAAGTAGGAAAAATAATAATACAAAAATACTAAATCTAAATAATATGAACCATTAATTTCAACAGACAATTGGACCGATATTTGTTTTTTAGTTCCCATTATAAACTTAACTTTATAAGGTCTTATTAGATTTAGACATTTATTATTATTATTATTATTATTATTATTATTATTATTATTATTATTATTATTATTAGAGATAATCGCACTTTTAGTCCCTTAACTGTTTACTATTATGCAATTCAGTTCTTCATTTTTAATTTTAGTAAATGTGATCGTCAATTGTTTTATATGTTACAAATTTAGTTCATCAATTTTTAAAATGGAAACTGATATAAGTAAACAACTAAAGGATTACATTGATTATTCTATATCATAAGGAACTAAATTTATAATAGGGATAAAGTACAAATAAACCACTGTACTATTTAGAAAAAAAGCAATTAAGCCATCGAACTCAAATAACTCCCAAATAAGCCATTGAACCCGGAAAAAAAGAGCAATTATCATTTTTAACAGGTTAACTCCAGATTTTTGCTGATGGGATTGCCAAATGTTTATTTTATTTACGTTTTTTTAATTATTATAATCCACATACATAGTAATATATTTAAAGTAATTATAATCAAAGTATTTTTGTTTTGTCTAGATCTAATTTATTTATTTATTATTATTTTTTAAACAAAAAATCTAGGTAAAAAATAATAATAATAAATAAATCAAATCTCAACAAGACAAAACTATTTTGATTATAATTACTTTAAAATATAATACTATCCAAGTGTAGTATGAGTTAACAACGCCTCCGCTGAAGCTCAATCTCATGACCTCCTACATGAAAGAGATCATTACATGTCATTTGAACAGAATGTGCTTGGCGTAATGAAGCATTTCTTTAAATAATAAAAAACTTAAATGATTGGCTTACTTATTTAGCCGTTTTAAACAGAACAAGTGCAGAAGATTTGAAGTCGTGTGCTGAGGGAGCAGTGCACCTGGACAACGAGAACAAAGACGAGATATCAATTATTATCAACGTTGTTTCGCCTAACAAGGAACTAACATTATATTCCCAGAATCTCTCTCTAATTACAATGCTCATTATGATTACTATGCCAAACTAAAATTTGATTTGATTTGATTGATCTCATCCCCAACATAATCAGACAGCACACAATTTTCGATGTGCCCACAGGAATTCCCCAAAAGCCATCACTCTTCTTTAAAATATATAAATACTACACTCCAAAGAGAAAGAGCTCCACCAAAACGACATCGTTGTCAACCCCAACAACATAAAAACATAAAAACCCAATTTATTATTCCATTTTATCCGTTGTTGGATGTCGGTCGAGTTCAGTCCATATTCAATTCGAGACGTGACACTATAACTTATCGTAGAAAATGTAGTTAAATGATCAGTGTTCACATACTTATAATCAATTGTTGTGGCAGGTGCTGAGAATGGATAAATAAGGTTGGACTCTCATATGAGAAGTTGTGAATTCAAGTCTCAGTGAATACGATATTGAATTTTTGTGCTTCAATAGATTGAGAAAATAGTTATAAACAGATATTATATTGTAATAGACTTAGTAGCATTAAAAAAAAATAATGTTAGTCAAATTTTGTTAAATAAATGGGACACATCACACATAAAATGAGACGTGGACGCTGGAGTATATCTATCCCCTCCTCCGACGCCTCGGAGTTAACGGCGCACTTTAGCTTTCTTCCTTTTATCCACTCGACGATAACTGGTCCTCCTCATTCTACTGAATCATACACCCCACGGTCCCCCTATTTTGCACCGGCGGCGCTTTCGATCTTATCCTTCGCCTTCTCTATTTACCGGAGCTGAATTGTTTGCTGCTCTTTGGCTAACCTACGCCGGTGGTGTACACGCTATTCGCCTTCGCCCAGGGATCTCCACAGTCAATGCTTCTTCGGAGCTCTGAGACACTTCACTGTTCTTCAAATTTCTGGTGCGTTCATGTCTTTCATTTTTGTTTTCAGCTGTGGTAGTTTGGAAATTGTGATCAAATTGCCTTAATTTTTTGTTTAGTGAGAAAATGCATTCGGAAAAAGCAGCTGAAAATGACGTCATTGTATTATTTTCCCCCTGATTTCTGAGTTTCTGTGCGCCTTTAACAAATTCGAAGTGCAACCTGAAGATTTTATCCATCTATTTGCTGATTTTTCGTTTCAATTTGGAGTAATTTTACAATTCAAGAAGGAGAAAGTGTGGTAGGAGGTGAGATTTGTGCGTTGCTAATTTTTCATTGGCGTTTTCGCTTCTGAAAACTTGTAACGTCAGTTAAATGTTTGCGTTTTATTTTGTTACCTAGTAATTTTCTTGCAATTTACTGATACGATGTTTATCTTTGAAATGAAATGAAATATAAGCGATTTTCATCGCCCTCCTGCTCACCAACTCCATCCAAGCCTGCATTTTGTTCGAATTGCAAGTACTTTAGCATATTTTGTGATTTGTGCAGGACAGTCTCGAACTGTTTAACATTGTTAGTGGTGCCTTTTTCTTGTTTTTCTATTTGCAGGATTTCAAAATACAATAAGGTTTCAATTTAATTATATTAAGCTGGTACAATGGGGGCTGAATCAGTGACTGATTCATGGTTTAGTAATTTCTGGAGAACTTCACGGAAGAGCTCAGCATCGGAGCCTGAGAAGTCCGTAATCGGTATTCTGGCATTTGAGGTTGCAACTTTGATGTCTAAGGTTATCAACTTGTGGCAGTTGGTAGGTGACAGGCAAATTGCGAGGTTGAGAGAAGAAATTACAACTTCACTGGGTATTCAGAAGCTTGTCTCTGAAGATGATGATTACCTCATAGATCTTGCTCTAGCTGAGATAATTAACAATGTAAGGTGTGTTGCAAAATCAGTTGTTAGGCTGGGAAAGAGGTGTACAGATCCTACGTATCAAAATCTTGAAAAGCTTTTTGATGATCCAGTTGAGATGGATCTTAATGGGTGTGGGTGGGAATACAGGCTGAAGAAGATGGAGAGGAAGGTTAAGAAAATGGAAAGATTTGTTGCAGCCACAATGCAGTTGACTCAAGAACTTGAGGTGCTTGCAGAGCATGAGCAAACGCTGAGACGGCTACAGGCTGGTGCCAATTCAGGTCATGTGAAATTAATTGAGTTTCAGCATAAGGTTGTCTGGCAACGCCAGGAAGTTAAGAATCTGCGAGAAATGTCACCTTGGGTTAGAACACATGACTACATTGTCCGGCTTTTACTCCGATCTATTTTTACAATAATTGTGAGGATCAAGTATGTTTTTGGGATAAATCAGATTGGAGATACTGAGGAAAGTACTCATTCTGAGGATTTCAGCACTGATTCCCTTGTTCGCAGCCGTTCCATCTCTGCCATTTTGCAATCGTCTATTTATCCATCTGAAAGTACCATGTCCAGGTTATATTCAGGACCTCTAGGGAGGTCATTTTCAAGTCTGGGGCTTAGCAGCGATAAAAGCAAGTCAAGCAACAGGAAATTACTTACCCGACAGTCATCTGTTCTCTGTGGAAAACCATCACAGATGAGATCCAGACGGCTTGCTCCTATTGCATCTTTTGGAGGGTGCATGAAGGCCGGTAATGATTCACCTGTTCTAGAAAGCTGCATGCCAACAAATGGTGATGTTTTGAAGTATAATGACTGTTACCAAAGATATACTGATGACTCAAAAGATACAAATGGACTAGCCTTGTGTGGGGGCATAGCTTCAGCAAAAGTGTGTTTTTTCAATTTGAAACATAAGCTGTTAGTTGCGCCCCCATCAACTCTTGGTTATGCTGCTTTGGCTCTCCACTATGCAAATATTATCATACTCATTGAGAAGTTGGCTGCTTCGCCTCACTTGATCAGTGTTGATGCTAGAGACGACCTGTACAGTATGTTGCCTAGTAGTGTCAGAAACTTGCTCAGGGCAAAGTTAAGGCTATTCACCAAGACACTAGCTTCATCTGTTTATAATCCTTCACTAGCATCAGATTGGGCTTTGGCACTGGGAAGGATATTAGAATGGCTATCTCCGGTTGCTCATAACACAGTTAGATGGCATTCCGAGCGGAACTTTGAGAAGCAGACAACAATATCTGGGAGTAATGTGCTTCTTGTACAGACCCTCTACTTCGCAAACCAAGCGAAGACCGAAGCAGCAATCGTTGAACTCCTCATGGGTCTGAATTACCTTTCTCGATTTGGTGAAGAAATTTATAACAAAAACACCGTGGAGTCTTCTTGTAGTAGGGCCTGTGATGATTATTTCCTCCACAAGGGCATTTCTCAGAGTGCAGTCAATATAGGTCCATAACAGACCCAGCCTCACATAAGATGACTGATCTCTTGCTGCTTTGCTTGAGTTGGTAGATGAAGGTTGTATATTGTATTGAAGATTGTTTGTTTCCTAAAGGGGCATCGTTCCAGCAGTTAATTGAATGCAAAACATCGCTATTCATATTACGTTATGAGGATCTCGATCATATCCATGCTTGCGGAAGAAGTTACTTGTAATGGCAAGATCTTTGCAGACTTAGAAGAGCAGCTACTCCTATGGCAGATAACTTTTTTTCTTTTTTTTTTTTTTTTTTTTTTTTTTTTTTTCTTTTTATGTGCTTTTCATCTTCATGTTTATGTAAATCTATGTTATTAGAAGGCTATACTACTTTCTGCTTTGATAAATGCATAGGAAATCTATTACAAGACTAGAGAGTTTTCTCATTTCTGCTCCTCTTAATCAATGCGTGTGAAGTCAGATGGTCAGAATTGCACCAAATGTGTCTATGGTTAATGATATAATTGTTATAATATGCAAATATTTAGTATTAGTTTCTGTGAAGTAATTCTTGCCACTGAGCTTACATTATTCAAACTTCATATGCGTCTTAAAAAATGATAAAATATACACGTTTTATTCATTTATTTTTTTGAAAGAATGAACTTAATTCATAGCATCAGAAGAAAGAACATCTACAAGAAAAGAAGGGGGATCAAGCCATTTCCCGCAATCTGGCACATAAACCGTTTTCTGTGCAATAGCATGGGCCGCGCGATTCGCAGATCGCCTAGCGAAATTAAAAATTACATCGGTAATTTGAGATGTAATTTTCTTAACATCATCTAAAAGAAAACCAAAGTACGAAGCAAACGAATCAGAAGATAAACCAAAGTACGAAGCAAACGAATCAGAAGATAGAGCATTAACAACAACTTGAGAATCAGATTCGACGTCCACAAATCCCATATTAAGATTTTTCAGCCAACTCAAAGCTTCCCAAATACTCAGTGCTTCGGCCTCCTTGACACCTAGTAGTCCAGCGTATTGCATACCTTTAGCTGCAATAAAGATGCCTCGATCATCCCGGAGAACCCACATTTTTTTTGAAAGGTAAAATATACACGTTAAATACTCAAAAGTGGTAGAATAGATGAAATCGGGGGAAAAAATATTTTAGCACGTCTATTAGCATACCACTCCTTAAGCTTTAATAACTCGTTTATGTTAACTTTAAAATATTTTTAAAGGATGAGAGAAACTTGTAGTCAATACGGGAGACTGTATTGGATAAATATGGCCGGCTCAAATCAATATGGGAGGTTGTCTACTGGATAAATTTAATCGGCTTAAACTAAGAAGGTCAGTGGTCACCAAGTTTGGTTGAGATTCTCCATAATTTAGTTGAGGTTGTCCATAATTTTAAATTTTTTTTTGACAATATATATGGTTGGTTTTACGACCTACGCAGTTGGCCAGTGCATGGTTGGCCAACACAACAAGTCGAAAATAAAGTGAAAAAGCCATAAAAGTACTAACAAATCTGGGAGCTATTATTGTTTTTCGGAATGAAGAAGAGCATGTCCCTTATAAGTTTTTTTTTTTTAGGGCATTTATCACGGTTGCAAAAATGGTTAGGCGTTATTTGGGTGTCCGTGTATTTTTTAAAAAAAAATTTCTTAAGACTTAATAATTATAAACTATTTAATACTTTAATAGTTAATATTAAAATATTAAATATTAACCTAACAAATATCTAGAATTGTAAATTATATAAAGATTTAAAGAATCAAAACACAATTTCAGAAAGTATCAATATTAGAGTAGCTGATTTTGATTTTTTAAAAAACATTTTTTTTTTGAGTTTGTTGCCTATTTGAACAATTTAGGGTTACTTTAAATCGTTTTAAGCGAAATAACTTATGTAAAAGAAAAAAACGGAAAAATTGCTAATCAACTGCCTAGTTCGTCGTGGCCTAGGCCGTCAAGTCCACCACGACCTAGTCGGCGTCTAGAACACATATTACGGTAAAATTTTAGGTGGCCGGCCGACGCCTATGTGAGATTTTTATAGCAGTGGTATTTATACAATTCAAACTATGAGTGGCCGTTCGACTCCTAGGTGATATTTTTACAGCAATGGTATTTATACAATTCAAACTACGAACATTGGACTTTGAATGGAATATGAAGAATAGATCTCTCAAATTAGGGATTTTAATTCAAAGTTCGATTTCTAAATTATAAGGAAAATAGTCTCTAAAATAAAAGGGAAAACAATCTCCTAAAACTGAATCAAGAATCTTCCATATGCACCTCTCATAAATGAGATAACGTACTCTTCAAGTTTCATATTCCATTGGACTTGGGTCGTCCACTTGGGCAGAGTCCGACCACTTGAGTTGACGTTGAATAATAGACTTTTGTAACTTTTAATCATGAAAGACTAAAAAGACAAGTAGACTAGATTTTTTTTTTTTTTTTTTTTTTGAATACCATTGACTCTATTACAAGCTAGTATATCTTCTATACTTTCTCTAATTATTGCAGTCCAAATATGCAGTAAAAATGAAACAATCTAACCCCCACGAATTTAAACCTCAAAATTGAATATGCACAGTTGTTTAGTGTAGATTGCACAGTAAAGAAGGAATAAACAAACCACAACCATTTTCTTACGCATAAGAAATCAGGAACAAAAATAACACGTAAATTAAATCCCCATAAATTCGAACGGCCTTTATGCTAAAACCTCTAAAATATCCCTAGCGCAACTAATCTCCCCCAAATCCATGCAAAAAAGTTAGCTAATAAAAATAAAACAAATCTTTTTTATAATGTATACAAATTTAACAAAGAAAGAATACAATTCAAAAGTTAATTTAAAATTGTCATTTTTTGTTCATATTTAAATACAAAGTTATTCACCAAAATTTTGATGTTAATTCATTCTAAAATTTTATTTTCAATTACAATTAAGACCAATCTATAAATTCAGAAAAAAAATTTTTATCAAGTATAAAAAATAATAAATTATATCTAAAATATATTTTTAAAAAATTAGGAGCCATGTGCGGTCGTTCTAGCCAAACATGCATGTCTAGGACTGGCCCTAATATTATTTATATATATATATATATATATATATATATATATATATATATATATATATATATATATATATATATATATATAGTTAGGTTGTTGTGTCGTTTATTTGGTTATTAATTATTTGTGAACATAGTTTATTTTTGTTCACGAACGAATTGTGACCATGAACATTTGCATGTGTTTGGTTATTAAGGGTTCTTGAACGTGTTCACGAACATTTTCGTTAACACTAACGAACATGTTAGTAAATGTGTTCACGGACGTTAACAAACACTAATGAATGCTTAACAAACGAATACGAACATATATAATTTTGAAAAATCTTAATAAATGAACACGAACACGAATGCTCTAAAAATCTTTACAAAGGAATACGAACAATTTTCGTTCCTTAATGTTCAGTTTGTTAACCACCTTAATAAAATGCTAGTCATATTCAATAGGAATAAGGGTCAAATAGGTCATTGAACTACACAAGAAAATACAATTGAGCCACTCAACTTAAAAACATTGCAATTGACTCTTTAAATCAACCAATTTCATCCGATCCTACCAATTTGCCGGTTGATTCACTTAATACGGTTCCTTGCCACCTTTAGGCCTATGTGGCCTTTTTATTATGTTTTTATTTTGTTATTAACATATATATATTCATCACGATAACAAATAGCGTCCAAACCCTACATCCACGGCGGCGATAATGGTCGACAGCGACAAGAGCTACAACATTGACGGGATACTTAGATTGCGTTGGCCATTTCTTCATCGAATTCTTCTCCCTTTTTGATTGAAGCCAAGAAAAAAATCTAGAAGATGCAAGTAGCTTAATTAATGACAATAAAAGCTTTAATGATGAAAATCGACAAAGGAAATATTAAAAATTGTGAAAATAGGCAACAATGTAATGAGCTTAAGGATCGGAGTTAGTAGCTTCACTGGGCGGCAATTTGTTGCCAAAGTTTCAAAAGCAAAAAAAAAAAAAAATATAAAAAAATTTCTAAACCTAGAAAACAAAGATACCCTTGAAGATGGCATAGGGATGTACAACGATTGTAAGGCAGCGAGTTTTTCCTTTTTTCTTCACTAGTAATAGACTAATGGCAGAGAAAAGAAAAACAATGAACATGAAGATGACTGTTGGAAGAAGTTGAGACACAAAACAAACAAAAATATAGAAGACTATGATATGATTTGCATTAGAAATTAAATGTAGACATCAAATAAATAGGGAAAAAGACTAGAATGTGTAGAATGGGGTGAGAATTTGTCAAAATGTGTGCTGACTTTTTTTTTGACAGAAATATGCAAAACTCTATTGCGAGTTGCGTTTTTGAAGGTATTTAATCCGTATTTTTTTTTCGTTAAATACGTAAAACGCAACTGGTAGTTGCGTTTTCCGTATTGAATACGAAAAACGCATCTCCCAGTTGCGTTTTCACAATACGTATGAAATACGTTAAAACTCAATTGGGAGATGCGTTTTACGTATTATACTTTTAAATACTTAAAACGCAAGACCCAAATGCGTTGTCTTTACCGGCGTATATCGCCGGAGAATTTTGCACTGGCCAGTGGTTTCTTAATAGCGGCATTCATTCTCTTTTTTGTCTCTAGCTTCTCCAGTGCCTCTCCTAGAGACTCGATTACTTTGCTTTTGTCTTCTCCATACTACTGCTCTCATCATCAGAATCCGGGCTACATTTTGCTCCATTCCAATCTGCTGAACTCGCCCTGAAAGGACAGATTTTGGCCCTGACTTCAATTGAGGTTTTGGAGCAGGCTTGAGTAAAAGATCAGCATTAGCATTAGCATTAGCATCATCCCCACTACTTCTAGGCGATGAATCCAATGATATCGAAGTTCCTTGATCAGCAATAAAATCAGCAGTGACCGAGAACCTACAAACAAACACGTATGGCCATCTCTTCCCAACCCAAATTCTTCGAAAGCTCCTAAAATTCTTGGCAAAGGAAATGCTCCCCACCAAGCCAGACGACCCTTCAAACTGCCCTGAAGAACAGCTGCAAACGCTTCCCAAATTCACAAGGGAAGTCATGCTAGCCATTGCTCTTTGTGCAGATTATCTCAACACTATCATAGACTTCCAACTACAAAACCAACCTCCAATTCTCCAACCCAACAAATTCAACTCCCCCAGTCTATCCTCTCTACTCTTAACGATTCAAGAAT